TAAAAAAAAAAAAAAAAAAGGAAAGTAAACTTTGCAAAACTTGGACACTATGACTATGGGATCAAACATTTTGTGCCAGTTATACAAAGATTCCATTGAGGCAATGTTCACATTAAATTTAACTTAGGCCCAAATAAAAAATCTATTCCATAGGATTTGAATGAGACAATAATTCAAATTATAAGGTGGCTAGTTAATATGCAGTTCATATTTATATTAAACAAGTTTATTATACAATATATTAAAAAAGTTTCTCATTTTTTTAAAAAATATTTGTAACATCTACTGTCCATTTGTAATGTAAAACTGTGAACATGAGTCAGCAATTTTACAGGTGTCAAAACACATATATACTTACCTATTTGTTTCCTCAATGACCAGGTTGGTGAAAATATGCTGTAGGTCTACCTCAAGCCAGTCACACCAAGGAATGGGGTACACACGGGATAGGGTTTCCAAGTAATAATGTTTCAGTTCTTCTGCTAAAATCTTCACTAGATTTTCTCTCCCTGAAATAAAAACATACACTATTAGTTCTGAAAAACTTACTTTTGAAGAGTTTTTTATTGAAATTCACAACAGTATACATCTGTGATATAAAAAAAAAAAGATATATAAAGGAGAAAATACCCCATTTTTTTCAAGAAAAAAATGCTATATAGTTCATTAATCAATATGTCATCTTTCAGGAAAAAATAGTTGACGAATTTACAGCTTCGGAAAGAAAAAAAAAAAAGGCCGTAACCAAATAAATCAATGGATGAACAGAGGATGAATAAGTAGATGGATGAAAGAGAGAGGGAAACCATATGCACCCTGGTATGGAGAAGCTACATCCTGAGAACTCTCCAGGACATCCTGTTGAATCAAATCTGACAAGAACCCCTGTCCCGTCTCACCCAGAGCCAAACAGAACACATGGAAAGCATGGTCACCGAAAGTGGGAAGAATGTCCAATAACTTCTGACTTTTCTTCAAGCGTGTTCCTTCCAGCTTGATTTCATCCACCGTGTCTACTGCTAACACGCTCTCTTGTATCAGATATGAGAAGAGACTGTCTGGTTGGAGGTCTTGTTCAAGAGCCACACGACATCTCTGTAGACTGTTTCTATGGGGAGCAGTCATTGCCATGGTGAAATGATTTATTTCTGAGACCAATTTCAATGAAATTTTAATATCTGCAATGTTACATAATGTATGTCAAATACCATTAGGCTATTGAGTATATACACTGCCATGGTGAAAGGATTAATTTTTACTCCAATGTTATACCATATGTATGTCGAACACCATAAAGGTATTGGGCATGTACACAAATTCATCCACTGAACTCAAATCGTAGCAACAGCAACTCAGACATCCAATTTCAACACATGATTTTAAGTCCTAGGGATGATGGATAGTTGGAATAATTATGCCATTTTCTGATTCTGAAACACAAAAGAAAAGGCCTAGTAGACATTTAAAAACTCTCAGAAAATGTCAATACATGTAGGTAAAAACGTCAACATTAATTTTACTCCTACTGCAACATTATAATTTATAGGGTATACTAGCTACATTGTTCATTCTGCTACTTTTCTAGCTGTCCAGAATTGATCGATTATTTTATAAATAATTGATCACTACTGGACATATTTGTACTAATTTGCCATAAATTCATATAAAAGGCATATTAATAAAATATATTTATGTTCAGTGGTATAAAAAATCCAATATGAAATTTTGCTTGTTCCTCATAATACCGGTAATTATTATTAATATTAATCTCAAAATACTGGTATACCAGTAGACTGTTAATCAGGTGCAATATTTAATTGCCCTTCAAGCCTGTCAAATTCTGATCTTGGACTTGAGTTTTGTTTCATAAATTTAATTATATCTTAAATAATTTATTCTTGAAATAATGTTAATTGTGCTATTATTGTTATACTGTACAAGAACTAATAATGCAGATATATTAGTAATATAAAAGATATTATAATGATTAGATTCATTTATACCTTTCTTCACTATTTTAACATCCACTCCTTGATTATTCCATAAAGCCCTGGCACTAGGTAAGATGAATTTTCACAGGTGTTTACATGATGTAACAACTCGATTATAATTGCACGTCCCTTTCCTCCCACTTCCGCTTTTCTAACATAGCTATATTTAGTCTACTCTTAATACGACAAATTTAGATAAGACCTGGCGCACGCACCCACAAAAACGTCCGGCACTTTTACTTTTGCAATAGCCATGTAATAATCCTTTTTCGTGGCGTCTGGATCCATTGCGACTTCTTAAAATTGGGCCTATCCCTTACCACGTTTCAACAAAAATACTGTTCTAAAAATAACCTCTGCATAACGAGGAAGTGGATACCACAGGTAACAACAGGACCAAGATGGCGGATAGGAAAGCGGCGCTAGCAAAACTTTTAAAAGTTCCAGGAAATGAAGTGTGTGCCGACTGTGGACTTGAAAGTAAGTACTCTTCAAATAAAAGACAAAACAATAACAGTTAACAACAATCACTGTTTCATAAAATGTGGCCTCGTGAAAGAATTATATTGTAAAGTACTAAATACATATTTTAGGCTTCGTTTTGAATATGGAAGTCATGGACTGATGGAGTTGGTGGTTAAAGAACTTGACACCGATTCAATTTTATGTCCTGTTTTGCTTTACGTGTAGCCTGCACTGTTTGGTTTTTTTTTTTTTCACTGGTAATACATTAGGAATATGACCTCCGTCCCATCTAGATTAAAATACATCTAGATCTAAGTATCAATAAATCGTCCCAACACACACAAACACACTCATTTTCTCTCTCTTTCCCCCTCTCTCTCTCTCTCTCTCACACACACACACACACTCACACAGGCGTGTGTGCGCGCACACACACACGCATTTCAAGAAAGACACTTGTTGAACAACTGAGAATCTTATGTCCAATAATTAAGACTGTATCATGACCAGAAGAATGTATGTAGGCGTAGGAGTGTTGTTTTGCTGTTTATAATTAATATGCAGATAATATCTTACTTTATGACTCATGTAAATGTCAGTACCAGTCATATATAACACTGAGATTAATATTGGCAAAGTTATGTGCTGTTGTCAAAACCAAGAAATTAGTTATGTTACCATTACACTGTACATCTACTCATTTATTTTCTTAAATGTCAGTTAAGAAATCCTACAACTTGTTTGATTTATTAAATGAACAATTTACAATACTATAATGCACTGACATGTGCTGCATGCTTTAATTAGGTTAAATACTTAAACACAAGTTTTGTTTTTAATACCAGATTCAATTTGGCTCAAGTTCACATTTAATGATTTCAGTCAAATTTTGGTCAAAATTTTAATTTCTTTCAAAAGGACAGTCAGGGTCATGTATCTATAGATTCCTGCCTGTAACCAGGGATGTACTATTATATATATATATACTCATAATTAGAGAAAAAATAAATAATAATAAACCATTTCTAAAGAGACTTATATATAAACAACATGGCTTTTTCAGTGTTTTTTATAAGGATTCACTTTATTACCATCCTTTCACAAGAGACAATGAAAAAACTTATTCCAGCCAATAAACTCTCTGATTAATTTCTAGATCCTGAATGGGCATCCTATAACATAGGCGTGTTTCTATGTGCATCCTGTGCTGGAGTACACCGCAGTTTAGGCTCTCACATCAGTAAAGTTCGATCACTGACATTGGATAACTGGGATGATGAACAGATCAAGGTTTGTATCTGTTTGTGATCTGAATTTTTGCCATAATATATTTGCTGGATTTTGTCTTGTTTCTCTCCTTTTTATTTCTTTATTTTAATTTTTTGGGCGGGTGGTGGGGGTGCAGTGATATTTTAGCTCAAAGTAATGTTTGCTTGTGTTATTCATTTGAAATGAGATGTAGTTACAAATCCAAATTTTTTCTTTGATTATTTTCAGACATCACTGTTCTTCCTGATTCTTATTAAGTCAACTAACTTCTCAAAGTTTTAGGATCAATTTATTTTAAGTTTCACAAAGAAAACACATTTTTTCTGTTGACAATTATTCATTCATGATGTTTGAAATATTAATTAATTAACATGTGCTGCATTTATTTTTCAGAAAATGGAAGAAGTGGGAAACCTCAGAGCCAAAGAGAAGTATGAACAGATGGTTCCACCATCATACAGACGACCAAATACCAAAGATGTACAGTATGTATGGGTATTAAAGATGAGTTTTAATAACTGTAGCAACTCTGTCATGTTGCTGTCTTAGTGAGGAGTCTGGAAAAGCCCAGATTTTCCTGCCAATAACTTAGATTATCTTGACTTAGTTAAAACTAGTGCTTGCTGCCAGTGAACCAGAGTTATGCTTAAACTGTGTCAAGTTGGCTGACTACAGACGTTGTGCAGGGGCAGTGAATATGATTATTTCATTGCGATATCGATTAAAGCCATTTATCTATCAATATATGCTCTAAAAGTTTTAATTTTCCTCAGATAAGTTCAACAAAAATTGATTCATGCGCTTAAAATGTCTTCAAAATCCTGGCTTGGATTGCTTTATGATTTTTATATTTATTTTTCAAGAATTTGAATGGAAGCATGAATATAATTTTTAAAATACAAGGACAAGTATGTTTGGATTCACATAAATACTAGGGTCCTTTGAATCAAAAATGAATGTTAACAGTAACATTGGTAAAATTTCAGAGTTCTACGTGAACAATGGATCCGGGGCAAATATGAGCGCATGGAATTCACAAATCCTGAAAAGCAGACATACCTTAGTGGGTATAAGGAGGGCTATCTGTGGAAACAAGGCAAAGACGACAGCAAATTTATGAAGAGGAGATTTGTGCTGTCAGAGAATGACAACAAACTGGTCTATTTTAACAAAGAAAATGTAAGTACCATTTATTATTTATTTATTTATTTATTTATTTTATTTTATTTATTTATTTATTTTTTATTTTTTTTTTTTTTTGGAAACTGAATTTATTTGCATGAATGAATTGGGTCTAGAAACAAAAAATGTTGAATTTTTTAAACAACGAAAATTATCTGTGTCATATTGTATTTTCGTGCACATTTTATCTCTCTAGTTTTTGTATTAAAGTTCATTTTATCTGGAATAGATTACTTGATTGTGCATGCTGCTGGCTAGTAAACACCTCATAACATATGGACTTCCTAGATCACAAGTACTTCTTGATTATATTAGGACCAACAAAGTATTTTCTGTTGATAAGTTTTAAAATGAATGCAGAGTGCACACACAATCAATTATTATTTGTATAGTGATAATAGAAGTTTATATAAGCACTTGAGAGTATTCCACAAGATAAGAATTATGTATGTCTATATGCTTATGTCACACTTCTTTACAAGCAATAAATAGATAGATATATACTTTGTACTTACTTGATTAGTCCACTATTCCTGATTTTTATAACTGGAGTACATGATGGTTATGATTGATGGGCTTTATATATAACTGAGAAATAATGAAGTGTCTCCTTACAATTAAATTACACTTGTCACTGAAGTGTTATTTACAAGTTTTTGATGCCTAGTAGATTTAAAGCTAGTTTTTTATAATCTATCTATTCCCAAGGGACAATAGGCCTTGAGCATCAAAACTTTTTCATTGCGATACACAAATTGCTGTAGCATATTTTTCTTTAGAGGCAAAGAATGATTTTTTCACTGTGGCCCACAATTTTATTATGGCATATTTCACTTTATAAACAGAAAAGGATTTTTCACTGCACCACACAGGTTTAAATGCCTTTTTTTTTTACTTCATAGGCCAAGGAGCCTAAAGCATCCCTCAGACTTGACGAGATCAATGCAATATTTGTGCCAGACAAGATTGGCAACTTGAATGGGTTGCAGGTTACATATGATAAGGAAGGCACAACCAGGAGTCTGTTTTTATATGCAGAAGAAGGCAAGGTATGTGGAGTCACTGCTATGATGGGTGGGTATGATATTCAAAGCTACAATTATTAATTTCTTCAAAACACTGCTGAAGTCCTACATTTGTTCCAGTACTTCAGTCTCTACCAAGACACATTCATCAAGGAGTTATTAGTGGTAATAACACTGATTTTAGCTGTTATTTGAAGGAACTAAATTGTGACTTTAAATGCATTAACATAGCTCATGAATTTTTTTTTTCGGAATGTGACATTTTGTTTGCAGTGAAAATTTGAAATAATCTGATGCAAACTATGACCATCTCTGAGCGTAATCTGGGTTATATATATATATATATATATATATATATATATATATATATATATATATATATATTTTTTTTTTTTTTTTTTTTTACATACAACATTGTGCATGGTTTTAGTCCTCAAGATAGCATCATTTTGTTTTCAGGCAATTTGTGCTATGAATTTTTTTATATCATATTTTATTCCTTAACAATGATTTGACTGGTAACTTGACCCCGGATTTAGCCATGATATGTAGGCCTATCAAACATCTGCCATACTGTTGTACATATAGATATTTCTGTCATTTTCATTGCACATTTCAGGACATCGTGGACTGGTATAATGCTCTTAGAGCAGCAAAACTGAATCGTCTCAGGATTGCGTTTCCATTGAGTCATATTGATGAGGTAAATTGTGGGTCACTATTTATCCTTCTAACTTAATTACTTAGTTTTTTTTTGGAATTTTCAACAGTTTGAAAACTTGATGATATTTTCAACATTTTGGCAGAAACTGTTATACCAGATGGGTTTACTAGCCAAGCTCTGTAAAAAAAAACAAGTTTGTGCCTTGCAAGATATATATTACCACATTTTTATTTTCTCAGTTGTCTCAGCAGCTGACCAGAGACTTTGTCAAAGAAGGCTGGTTATTTAAGCAAGGACCAAATGCCAAAGATGCATTCAGGAAGAGGTGGTTCACACTGGACAAGAGGAGGCTTATGTATTCTGAAAATCCACTGGTCAGTGCATAAGTATATAATGCTTATTTGATCGAGAGAGAAAGAGAGAGATTCTGGATTTTATGACATTTTTCATTGCTAAAATACACAGTTCTCTTCGGTATATTCCAGGATGCCTTCCCAAAAGGTGAAGTCTTTATAGGAAACAAGGAACAAGGATTTGCTGTACGGGATGGTGTTCCTCCAGGTCGCCCAGACCAAACCTTTGGCTTCACCCTGAAGACTCCAGACCGCCCTTTTATTTTGAATGCAGAGAGTCAACAAGAAAAGGAGGAATGGATGAGTGTACTTAAGCAAGTTGTAGAGACACCCTTGACACCACAAGATTCTAGTGGTAGGCGAACTTGAGTTGGTAGATAGTGTATGACCACTATGTGCATTAAGGTTTGGGGTGAGTAACATTAACAGGTATTAATAGCTTTTCCCTTGGTCTGCTGCATATGAACAGCCAGGCACCCTGTTTACCATATATCCAAATAAATAAACAAAGTTGATGATAAAGGGACCCTGTAAACCTAAAGTCTTTTGAAAAATCCAAATTAAAAACACCCAATCCCATCCATTATTTCCTTGGAAACCAATGCCAATCATTGGAAAAAAATGCACCATGTTAACCTAAGATTTTTAGATAAAAAACCTTGATGATTTAATTATCCTTGCAAAAGTGCCATCTTGTTAACCTTCTCGTTCTACTAGAAAAGAAACTTAAGTGTAACAAATCTAAGATTAATAAACAAACGTAAGGATTAAACATAGATGTCCTTATTGCAAAGAATATATGACAAATTTCTAGATTTCTACAAATTTAAACTTAAATCGGTAACATTGAGAATGGTTGTAGAGCCTGTGATATTGGTGAAAAAAAGCGTTCACCACAATGAAAAACTAATTAACCATTATCTTTGCAGCATCTTACTAGGTGAGGCAGACAAAACATTTACTTCAATAACTTATTCCCAGATTCATTTTTCTGATTAAATAACCCCTTGTCCTCCAAGTAAGGATTTTTTTCATGTCACTCCTCTGACTATGGGCACTGGCATTATGTGCTCTACATACTGGCCTTTCCATATGTCAGAATTGACAAAGCTTTAAACAGAGTAGAGTGCAAGCTCTTCTTCAGGCTTTAGTGGATGTTACTAGTGCTCACCCCAAAACTGTAAGTGATTTCATGTTGTCTCTCTCTGTTCACACTTATACTTTTACTCATATTACTGTATGTGACTAACAATATAACACTCTTTCAGTTGGATTTGGTTACGGGTTGTTTGCAAGTTCTTTTTCAGTGGGAGTTTGATTATATGAATGTTTTACCCATCGTTTTTAATCTGTGTGAAAGGTTGTGGTTTGTTGCAGAAGTTTAGATGTCAGATATTTTTGGGAAAAAATGTTAACAGTATCTTTTTGATGTACATTAGTTTTGAATGATAATTTGCTTTACAGTACTAGAATTATTGCTTTTTCATAACCAGTTGCTTATATCAGTTGATAAAATACAATCAGTTGGCATGCTTGAGTACCAAATAATAATTTTGTCAAACCACTGCAAATATATCCACAGCTTTTTCCCCTTCCAGTACAGATTTATTTTTACTTTCCATTACCATTTATTCATTTTTTTCTAAAGTGATATTTTAGTTAAGTGCTGTTTGCCTTAGTATATTATTTTTAAATACTTGTAATTGTAATTAGGTCTTGTAATTGTTAATACTTGTAATTAGGTCTTGTAATTGTTTTAAAAAATCTATCTTGGAGTAAATTGATTAATTAATTCATTTTATTGACATTTCATTGATATGTATGTTTTAAAAGAAATGTTAATTTTATTATGTCATACCATATTAATAAATAACCATTTGGTCCAACTTGTATCTGGCAATCAGCGCAGGGATTTTTTTAGCTGTTGGTCAGTGTCCAGTGTGTTAGGTGTGACACCATGTTCCTTCATCTTTTTCAGCTGCAGCAGCAGTGGTAAGGAAAAGAGCAAACTCTGCTCTAGATGCTTTTAGTGCTTTAAAAATAAGGTAACAAAGAATAAGTCTAATAACCATTGGACATTAGTGTTTTATTCAAAAACTGGGTAAAAGGAGGACCACAGAAGATAGAAGACCCCATAAGACTTAGCAGTGATCATTATCAGTCTAGTTCCTTGGACACTTATTCCTTTGGAGGAAGCTTCATTGTACAGATTTTAAATGTGAAGTATCCATCCAAACTATGGATTTAGCCTGAAAGGTCCATCAAAAGGAGGTTATCACATATTCTCAGTTAAGTCCAAGTCGATTGGCTGACCAACTTTTAAGAAATAATTGTGTATTTGGTGACATTGTGAGAGCAAAATATTTTATATAACATTTATTTTATAAATTCAAATCATGCCAAATTGCAATCAATTATTTGGTGTTATAATGGATGTTATTAGTTTTAATACCGCCTGGTGTCATGATATGATAATATTTAATCAAGGATAATATGTATAATGGCATCATGAAATGCATATAAATTTGCTTTTAGTTAGGTCTGTTACTTATAGCTTGGTACATGCATGCTGCATCAGTCAATCATGGTGATGTTTCAGCTTAGCTGATAAAAATATTGGAGAAAAAAGTTGAAACTCAAAAACTCAATGATAAGCCTTGCATGAAGAATCATACTGAGATATCTGTATAATGCATAAGAATAATACAGTGTAGTATGCTTGAGTCCTTTAAAATCAGTTAAGATACATGTTATAGTAACACCACCCCAGTCTGTTTTGGTGAAACACTTTTTGCCATTTGTCAATGAATGTGATTATAATGTTCCCAAATCAAGAAATTTCATCTGAAAAACAGTGTTTCACCAATATGTTTGTTTGCTCTCTGTCACAGTTTGCATTCCCACTGTGTATATGTCACGTCTTTTATTCTCCTGCATATTCCTTACATACTAATTAAAGCAATAAATTAATGAATGAATAAATCTTCAGGCTCAGGTCTATCTGGTGAGTAACTAGCAATATTAGTGAACCATTTGCAAATGAATCACTGTATTTTGTATTTGTGACATCAGAAATCCCTGTGCTGGTGCAGTTTCTAGACCTATGCATAACATAACAGGTCCTGCCATCATTCCACAGCCTGCTTGTATGCTCACCAGGTGGCAGCAACATTGTTCTGGTTTATCCGCTCGCTAGATGGCAGCATGCTATCAGCCCAGTGTGTGAGCAGATGACAATCAGTTTGTTCCCCACTAAAATCAATTCCAATGGGCCTCTTCCTTTGGCAGATATCATTTTTATTTTATTTTATCATGTGTTACCTGTGAGCATACTGCACCAGCTGAACATGATTTGTCTGTTTTAAAAGCCACTCGTACTTGTCACTGCCCTTTGTGAGAGGTAATGCCAGAGTGACTTCTTGGAAAACATCAGATCTTGAAACCTATAATATTTAATCAGTTTATTAGTTAACTTGAGAAATGGGAGAATCCTACTTAATGATGGATACATTTTAAGGTGTCCCATCTTTCAATAAATTATTTTCCATCAATGTGTAAAAGTATTTTTGCTATGTCAATAGAAAACTAGAGAAAAGATTATATTTACAAATAGTAAAGAATGTACCATAAAGTAAAACAATTATTCTATATCAGGTTTGATATCTTGTTGAAACAAAATATAGTGACTTTAAAAGAGGACAAAGCCAAATGTAATAAAAATATTTTATATTATAAGCATATTTTTGCAAACTATTTCTAGCATATTGACAATAATTAACTTAGTGTTTATATAAATGTGTTGTCAAAAATTTTGAAAATCTTATGTTAAGATTCATGTTGTTGTAAATAACTGTTTTTACCCATAGCTTTATCATCAGGACTTCTATTTACTAACAAGTTATATATTTCAAGCATAGTTGTCATCTTAAGGAAAATAATTAGTAATAAAAATTAAAGATAATAAATCATCACTGACAACTGAAATCAGTTTTTTGTAAGTTATAACATCACTCAATATTAAAATATATACATAAATTCTGATAATAAAATTACCTCTCTGAATCCAATTTTCTCAAACATTGTAAGGCTTGGTTTATTTTCGTAGCCAATTTTAGCAGTGAATGTGCTGATTCCCAACTCTTGCATACCTAAATAATAACAAGTTTAGAAGTGTAAATTAAGATGGACGTTTTGACTAGACAGCTTTGTAGTGTGTGTGAAATGGTGTAGTTATTGAGGCAGAAATCAAAATGTGTGGAATGATTTGGTAATTAATGTATAAATGAGGTGGGTACTGTGATAGAGGAGAAAAGCTGTGCTGAATGGTTAAATGTGCTAATGTGTTGAAGAAGGTAAGGGATGAGTGTGACATATTCAGTGGGAGATCCAGGGGAAAGTTAAAGCAGCCCCCCCCCCAAAAAAAAATAGTATAATGAACAAAAGGAGACATTTTCCCACCTCTGTGTCCCATATATCAGCAAGTTAAAACTGTCCTCATCTACCTTTTTCCATCTGCCAAGTGACTTGATGCATAATTTTTGCTACCCCCCCCTCCCCCCCTTGTGTACAAAGTAATGCATGTCAAATTATGTTGGGCAATGCTTTGATATTTACAGGTAGGTAACACATTGTTTCTTGAAATGCAAGTAAAAGATTATTTACCATATCTCATCATGATGAGGAGTGCTTCTTTGCCACATCCTTTCCCCCTGTAACTCTCTTCTGAAACGGCGAGTTATACATTACACTTAAATGAGATGAATGTGCCTCATGCTTTTAGTGCACATGCAGACAAGTTGTTGGGAGTGAAATTGTTTATGGGTTCAATTTTCATTGACTTTTATCAATCTTTTTTTTTATCAACAATTAAACTAAGATTTAATTATTTGGAGTCCATTGTTAGTCCTTTTGCTTGAATCAGATTAATTTTAAGACAACACAGAACATGCAAGCAGAAAATCCTTTAAAAAAACATTAAGTTAAGATCAATAAGATTTGGATCAGAAACAACTGCCTTGCTTAATAAAACATTTAAAATTTCTTGCCTGCAATCATGATTTCAATCTCTGCAGAACTACGATCATTTTCATTGTTGAAAAACAAATTGACATCACCAATCATGCATTCTGAAAATAGAGAACACCATGGCAATCTTAGTATCTGTGTAATGAATTAATAACATGATATTATCGGAGCATATACCTGTTACACTGAACATGTAATATAATACAAACTTTGGTCAAGAGTGGCCATGTCCAGTTTACACATTTCAGCTATACTAGTACATTGTACAAGTCACAAGACCATAAAACAGTGTTTATTACAAATAATAATTATTATTATTACTGGACATAATAAATAATAAATCATTGTTAGACAAAATACAATTATCACAACAATGTCATTTAATAGTGCACTAAATAATAATTATAAAACAAGTATCCATTTAATTCAATTATAAAATATGTATTTATTTCTTACCTACATCATTGGTACCATCATAAGACTTGGCATCGAGCAGTATAAAAGTGCACTCTAGAACAAATAAAATCATTTTAAATCAAAGTACACTATTTAGCAATAAGAAAAAAAACAAAAACATGAAGTTAACCAACTCACATTTACATGCACAAATGTATGAGTTAACTTGAAATCTTTCTTTTCATAATTACTGAACTTCTACATTACTGACATTAAAATTATCAACTTCGTTTACGAGTATATTAACCATCAAATGTTTTATCCACGCTCTTTCCATACATTAATATGTCTGGGGTAGTGCTAACACTCACCAATTTAGCCAAATGCTAAAACTGACTTAAATTGGCTAAAGAAAAAGGGCTTGATTTGACATGTTTTAGCCAAATAATAGCCATTTTGATAACAAATTGACAAAAATGTGGTGATTTGGCTAAGCGAAAAAAATTGCTAGCGCTACCCCAGTATGTGCATCGTGTCAAACACTTGCACACACAAACATGTTACTCATCAATTCTTACTGTCATAATCTTCAAACCATGACTGCTGCATTTGGTATTCCTGATCCAGATTCAGAGGTTCAGAGCCAGTTAATTTCTGCAATTCAGCTGACTGCATCCACCCATGATACCTAAAGAGGAAAAATAGAACATTTCTTATGATCTACATATACACAATTTCTTTGAACTATATTCCAAATAATCCCCCTCCAGCATTTTATTTACTTTTTCTACATTTGTATATTTACTACTGAGCAACAGTCTGAAAGAGATAACAATTTTATTGGTTGGTGCAGTAAGAATGAGAACATCTCTTTTTCCCCTTATGTTTTACCTTCCAAAAACACACATTGCTGCAAAATCAAGGGCTTTTGCTGCAGGTTGAGACATAACATTAGAAAATTTGTTCTCTCATTGTTACGTACACTATATGTATCACCTGGTTAATGTCGTTAATGAGCTCTACTGCATCCATTGGTCCTCCCATTGGTTGCACATATTTTTTACACCTTATCATTTGTTTTCTGATCTGACATTATACTTACCGTACTAAACAAATGTTTTAAAAATATATAGCAGGAGTGCTACAATGCAGATATTAAAAACTTAAAACTACATGTAGCTGGAATGTACATGAACGCTCGGCTCGGCTTCCCAATATTTATGTCACAACGTTATGTCAAATGGCGATCAGCTTTACTGAAAACACGGAGTGAGTTATCACTACATAGACCACTTATATGTTATCACCCTTGTGAAAATAAAATAATTTCCTGTGGCTACATACTTTAAAACGTGTTCCTTTGTGTAAGGCACTAAAACCACACGGTTACCAGGAATACACGTGTCTTTGTTTTTCTTCATCCTCGAGCTGCATGTGGCCTTTACTTAACCTTGACCTCTTTCTCCAAAATTGCTTAGTATAAACCTAAAAGCCAAATATGTTCATTATTTTATCAAAAGCAAAAATACACTCGAAGTCTAATATTACTTAAAAAATTTGTTATTATTATTGTCATTGACTTAAATGTTATTTATTTTTAATTCTTTAGCAGTAAAAGAAAAGAAAATGTTATTATTTTAGCATGGCACAAGCGTGCCACGTTGGTCATGAGGACCTGACGAGCTCACACATGATGAACAGAAACGGGGAAGATTATCCATTTTAATTGTTAAATATACAGTATGTAAGAGTAATTGCACACATACAGTAGTGAGGTGAGTTGGGAAAGTATCAGCCGATAGAAAGGTGCAACGTTCAGGCAACCTACCGACACGTTAATACATCAGTGTGAGGGGAGGGACTTGACCCTTGACTTGGTTTCTTGAATCTAGGGACCACCGAAGTAAAATAATGGCTGGGGATGTCACAGATACCGGGACTTTGTATTCGCCTGCAGTAAGTTGTGATATTTCTTTAGATTTTATCCTTTTGCAAATGTATTTATTAAACAACAGAATTTAATATTATTATTATTATTATTATTATTATTATTATTATTATTATTGGAGAGGGCCTTTAAAGTTCTCCAATTACAGTCTGAGTCAGTTTTAAATATTAATTTTAAATGGTAGAGTTGAACAGTTTGAGAAACATGTTGTCATGTATTTTGTATTTTTTTAAAATTATTTTTCTGGAGGTGTTCAATTTATGTGTCACTATATAATGACTGTTACCACTACACCAATAATTTACACTGCAAACACATTGAAGTTATCATGAAGCTGGTGTCCATTTATTCTAGGTGGGCTTGGTGTATGTGTTCAACTTGATAGTTGGCACAGGTGCTTTGACAATGCCGAAAGCTTTCAGTGGTGCAGGGTGGCTGCTTAGTCTTATCATGGTGGTCTTTCTGGCATTTACAAGGTAAGACTGGCAAATAAAGTACATCTAACACAGTAACAGACCTTATGCATTGATGAGTTAACATATAAATGGCAGATTTGGAGGGGGGAGGGCACAGGGGACCATGTATTTCCTCCTCCCTTTTAAGTTGAGCTTTGAAGTTAATCCCACCTCTCTCCCTCCACCTCCTCCCCCCCCCCCCCCCCGAAAAAAAAATTGTGTCAATAATAATAAAAACGATATAATTAGAAAATCAAGCAAATTTCCCATTCCTGTGTCACAAAACAGGAGAATTTTTTATGTCTGCTAGTTTACAATTTCCTTCTTATTTGTAATAGATGAATGCTGAAACAATCTCATACGCATATACATGTATGTATGTATGCATCTATACTGGTATTATATGCATATTTTATATACATTGTCTACCTCTAGTATATATATATATATACTAACAAGAACATGATATGTAATTTACTGTACATACTTGCATTTAATTTTACAGTTATCTAACTGTGACATTTGTGATTGAGGCCATGGCAGCAGCTAATGCAAGAATTAGGTGGAAAAAGTTACAAAGCTTAAAGCGAGTATGTATTGCATACTTAATGTTCAGCTTGCTATTTTACCTAACATTTGTTTGACTTAAAATGTTGATTGTTAGACTTAAAGTGTTGATGTTTAGCATTTTGTTGTTACTTCATGTTCACCAACATCATGAATGAAATTAAGTACCCATGATGAATTCAACAAGAGTTACAACTTTGCTTGAATAATAACATGTTATTGCAAGTAACAGCTAATGAGGATGTAGTGAAGTTTTGAGAAATTTTTGATTTAGTTGTGCATAGCACTTGCATTAATAGGTAGAAAATCAGACTTTTTCGTATAATTTTAAGGGTAAGAATGCATTTCATTAGCATGAAAAACCAAGCCCTTAAACGTTAATGAAACTGTTTTGCTGCATTTACATGTCATAAGCATTTTAAGAGCCCAGATAACTAATTATTACTTAACCAATTCTGGCAGCAAACACATAAAAGAGAATCACCACAGATGGTATGAATGTTTCAGAGTGGAAAAATAAAGGAAGAAACAATATATCAGGAAATAGATAATCCATCTGATGAAAGTGAAAGAAAACCTTTGTTGTCATTAATCAATGGTAGGTAGGCTTGAGAATGATTGTTTGTCGGCATAGGGTCCCCTTTACTATTTATTTATTTATTTATTTATTTTCGTCAAATGAAAGTGGGTCAAGAAATGTGCAACTTTCATCATTTTCATGATATTGATTTCATTTCATGATCAGGATGCGCTTTGCGAAAAAAAAAATAAATAAAAAAATTTTTAAAAAAGAGAAAAAGTTTCCAAAGATTTTTTTTTTTTTTTTTGAATGGCATAGCACCATTCACATGCCAAAGACTGCTAAACAGAATCTACAGCATATGCATATTGATCATATCACACTTCTTAACTCACTTTGACTTGATTGCACCTTCATAGACGAGATTTTCTCTTATTGTGTGCTTGTGGTGTCTAAAATGTCTTTTTTTAGAGTACAAATGTTTCTTTACTAACTTTGTGTAGAAAGTAGTGGTGAACCCATCTCATGCACTGACTGACAGTGGCCAACTCTTCGATGATGATGATGATGATGGTTGTGAGGATAATGATGAGGTGGCAGATGAGGAAGAGTCAAAGCCACTGCTCAGTCCTCATGTTGATGGTAGGTCACTGAATGCAATATTGCATTAGGTGTGATTTTGGGGTGGTCTCAATTTTGTCAGTTGCTTTTGATATTGATAAATATTAACACTTTTAAAAACAAAAAAGCACCATAGTATCGATGATATAAGATATGTAAAGTAAAATATATTTATGTACTTTGATATTTTGTTTAAAAGATTTATCTTGACAGTTTTGTAATCTACCTTATAATGATTCATTGACATACAGTATAGTCAATTAGTGCTATAACTTAAAGATTTAACTTAGGCATAAGCATGCTTTTGACCACAAAGTCTGTTTGTTTTCACTTTCACATCCTCACCTGATTATTTTTTTGTTCTCTCAGAAGGTGGTGCCAAGCCCAATCAAACTAAAGCAGACTTTTATGACATTACAGAGAGAGTGGAGATGGTCAGTATTTATTGTTATGACAGCATTGTATATATTTTGTCACATTACTAAAATATGTAAAATGTCTGTCAAACTCAAGCATATGTTCTGGATTGTAAACAGTATTCAGTGCATGCTAAAAGCATTATTGTTATCCCTGAAAGTGAAGGCTTTCTTTTTTGGTCATGTTATATTTATAGTTTGCTCATTTTTTTTCAGGGGAAGATGGCATCAATGTTTTTCCATAGAAGTAAGAATATTTTCGGTCAATGCGATATTACATTTTCACTTGTGCAAGCATTAGATTTTAAAGACATTTAGTACAATTCAGGCTTTTTTGATCACCAGTGATCATCAAATTAAAAAGGAATGTTTACTTTTCAGTTTTTTAAGTATAAGTGATCTTTGGCTTGATCTCACACCCAAAAGCACACACACAAACATAATACACATTTAATTGTTTATTTGAATGGTACAAATTTTAAGTTATGAGTAGCATTGCGACTTGTTATATTCTGACAAGATAAAGTTTAATGATCCAGTATTCTTCTTGAGAATTGGAGAATGGGACCATTCAACCTTTTATTTTACCCTATGTTTGGGGATGTTATGTAATTTATTTTTCATAATTATCCAGGGTTTACTAGTAAAATGTTTTTTTTTTGTTTTTTTTTTTTTTGGTAGTTGGGGTGCTGGCTTTCTATGTGATTATAGCCATTTATCTGTATGGGGACTTGGCCATCTATGCTGCTGCAGTGCCAAAATCCATGAGAGATGTAGCCTGGTAGGTGTGGGTGTGTGTGTAGATTGTAATTGCTGTAAATATTTTATCAGCTGTCTTAGATGCTCTTCTGTGGCTTAGATGCTGTTCTCTGGCTTAGATTAAGTAAAAGAAAATATTTCCATTACTATATTTTTCTCCACTTCATCTTTGACTTGGTGAAATAAAAGGTGTTGGGGTAATACAAATAACAAATGCTACAGGGACATATACCCCAGAGTAGAATTGATGTAAACCAGAGATTAGAGTGGAAATGGCATGACTTGAAAGGTCTTCAGGGATTTTTTACCTGTTTTGTACAATGCATTCTGACTTATTTGTGTGTTGAATGTATTGCCACATGTATAATGACATGAAATACATTATATAATCTGCACAGTCACATCAAGGTAACCCTCATTGTCACATCAAACACAAATGGAATGCAGCATATGATCACAGCAAACTGGTTTATAGAATGATTGAAATTTTTATAGGGTTTACCTTGGTGATTTCGGATATATTTTTATAAAGAGGAAATAACATGCACTATGTCTTTAATTTGTCCCAACATTAGTTATTATTAACAGACATTAGTTACTATTAACAGACAGATGGTTGCTGTATGTTTTGTTAAAAGATGTATTCAAATTTCTGCACCAGTTGTCAGGATAAGAAGAGCCTTGGTAATGTACATGTAGTATCTGTTTTTAGTAGACAATATAAAAGTGTTGTTTGGATATTTGGTTTGTTTGTTGAATCCTGAATATGTTTTAGATGTAGACTGATTTCTCAGTTTCTCATGCAGTTTTTCACTGTCACAGTAAATAATTGCTATCACTTTTCCATCAGTGTTTACAGACCAGCCAATTTGTCATGTAATGCCACTGTGCCTGATGATGAACTCTGCTGGGGAGGAAACACATGGAAAATATCCCGGATGAATGCATATAGAGTTTTCGTGGTAAGTGATGTCTTGTCCAAGAAAATTTGTTTATTCTTTGTCAATCTTCTCATTGCAGCATGTTTCTGAAAGATTTGGAGACTTTTTTAATAGATAGTGCTACAAACATGTAAGAAGTGGGTAATTTCATTTATTATTATTTTTTTAATTTTCAGGCAGCTTTTGCTGTTTTACTTGGACCATTTACATTCTTCAATGTACAAAAGACTATGCTGCTTCAGATTGTGACCACTGGGTTTAGGTGGTTAGGTAAGGCAGATTGTGATTAAGCTGGGTTGTAATGATTGGTTTGGTTTGACTTGGGTCATTGTTTAGGTGTGGGTGGGTGGGGGTTAATTCTGTTGGAAGTGTGGCATTGACAATGATTATCTTTGCAGGGTTTTGACATCCACTGTATAATGTTTTATATGCATTTTGAGGGACAAGTTTTTTTTTATGTCTGTTATTCTTGACGCAAAATTTGTAAAACAACATACTGTTACGTAAAAGTATTGATATCGCCTTTGTTAATATTTTTTAGAATTTATATTTTGTTAAATTCTGTATCAGTGATTAAAGTGATAATTTGTGTAAGAAACTCTTAAGCCTAAGTACTGGTTATAAAGCAGTCTTTATCTTTCTGTTTTCAGCCTTTGGTATGATGATAGTGCTGGCTATCATCCGATTGGCTGAGGGGAAAGGTGAAGGTCACCCTGTGATAGCAGATTTCAGTGGACTTCCAAACTTATTTGGTGTCTGTGTCTACTCTTTTATGTGCCATCATTCTCTACCATCACTTGTGGCACCAATCCGAGACAAGTCTAGATTGACACTGCTATTTGCCTCCGACTACTCACTAATCCTATGTTTTTATGCATTGTTGTCGTTTACAGGGATATATTGCTTCTCAGGAAATCACTTTGAGGATTTGTACACTCTGAATTTTCAAGCAAGCTGTGACCCTAAAGACAGTGTGACTAATGTTGTATTCATACAGTATTTCTTAGCACTCTTTCCGGTGTTTACCCTCAGCACAAGTTTTCCTATTATAGCTATAACATTAAGGAACAATTTGAAAACTTTGTGCCACAGACCACGAAGGCCATATCCTTGGGCAGTGGACAAACTTGTCTTTCCTCTTGTGACTATACTGCCCCCTATAGTTGTAGCACTGGTCACAGATAATGTTGGGTTCCTTGTCAGTATAACTGGGTCATATGCTGGAGCAGGCATCCAGTATGTGATTCCAGTGTGTTTAGCATACTACTCTAGAAAGCAGATGTCTAATACTCTTGGACCACATATAGCTAATAAACACAAATCGCCTTTCAAGCATCCCATTTGGTTCATCTTAGTTCTGCTGTGGGCTGGACTTTGCATTGCCTTTGTCACTGTCAATCATGTTATTACAAGGCAGTGAAAGACACTAGATCAGTTATCTGTGGGACCATTCCCAGACCCTGTCGTACTAATTGTGGATCGATCTATCTCCGAGGGGATTCTCGCTAAATTGCAATCAACTTAATCAGCTTAGATGTCTGTCATGCCTCCTGAAGCTACTAGGGGGTAATTAATTATTGTTTAGCAGCTTTAGTAGGTGTACCAGACATCTAAGCATCTTAAGCTGAAAGCAATATAGCAAGAAACTCCTTGGAGGTGGATCAATCCTATTAGATTGATCTAGGTATGGGAACCGGTCTCTGACTACCAGGCCCAGGAGTTTATTTATTAATTTATTATTATTATTATTAATTTGTTATTTATCTATTTATGTTCTATTTTATAGTGGTGTGGGGGAGTAGCGCACATGCTTTTAACTCATCTCCCCCGCACTTTGCTCAGACTTATCTAATGTTAAAAAGTATTTAATGTTAAAAAGTTAAAGAACATCCACTGAGGCACAACCCCCTTCCCTCAAAAATAATAAGAATCAATGAATGATCTGAGTCTTTGTAACACATCCACAATTCTTCAAGTTCATTCCAATTTATTCTTTTGTTGATTATATACAACAAAATTATTTTATTTTATCTTTAATACAGTAAATTGTAAACATATGCCTTCAAAAATATCAGTGAATGATCTGAGTCTTCGTAACATATCCACAATTCTTTAAGTTTATTTCTTTTTTTCCTGTGTTTATATAGAAGGAAATTATTGTTATTTTATGTTTAATAAATTGTAAACATTTACCCAACTTTTTATTCATTAGCTGTGGTGTGATCAAATATTTTTATCTAAGTTGCATTCTTGCATTTTAAAAACAGTAGGCTTTGGCGCCATGGCAACATGACTCATTAAATGATATGATGGATTTAAGACAGTGCCAATTTAACACTTGTCAGCTACCCCAATGTTTGAATTGGGGGGCAGTTTTACAAAACTTACTGATTTTTTGCACTATGGAGTCCCATTCAAGAATGCCTGATACTCTTTATTCCTCAAAGTAATCAAAACTTGGTGCATGCACATTTGAACAATAACAGGGTGTTTACTAATCTGTCATGATGATTGCTATTGATCATAAGGCAGTGTAATGTGTAATCTTGTAGGTTAGTGACTAATGTGATTTAGTTTTCTATAGGAATTAACCATTATATGAAGTACTGCAATACTCTTTGTTGTTGTAATGTCCTATAAAGGTGCATATATTTACCAATTAATTCCCACCTGAATAAGTGTATTCATATTTGAAATTATTATGTCGAAAAAAATTCAATAAACTAATGTATTAAGATATTAAGCCACTGTTTTTATTTCATATATTTATTGTTTCACAGTAGGTGGTAAAAGATTATCAGTATATACAAGTTACACATGTTAAAAACTAACTACTAAAAGCAATAAAAACTTAACACTTCATAACTGTACGCTGCTGTCCAATAACGGTAAGAGAAGTTCCGAAGTCCACATTCAACAAAAGGGCTAGGATAAAACCCTGTTTCAAATTAGACTCTGAAAACTGTACTACAATAAACTAATGCCTTATCATTGCAGATTTGGGGGTCCCATATAATTGCAGATTTGATCATCAGTAAATACCGTGTATTGTCAAGGACTGAAAACGTAGTGATACCTCCGAATTCCAACAAAACCTTAGTTTGTCAGTCACCTACATGTACACCCAATGGCATTGCGAATATAATGTAATTCGAACAAATTTTCACAGGTGTGGCAGAACCTATATTGTTATAGTTTTATTGTAAATTTTCCCCTGTTATTGGAAAACTAGTATTTCATAATTGTTGATGCCACATTTTTGGCACTGTGGCGTAATATGAATCGAGTGCACGGATTCACAAAACGTAAAAGTGCAAATGCCAGTTTCTAAAGGATCTTGCATGGATGTTGCTGAAAATAGAACTATTTAAATATTTAACATAAAACCTGTTGTATTGTGCATAAGATAATTTTTCAAAAACCCATAAAAACACCTATTTTAAAAGTGACTAATTAATACACAAACGTCGGTCGTGAAGAGATTTCAGATGATTTTTTTCTGATAGATCAAACGCTAATGAGGCTGACCACTTCTTGACCATGATGACCTGTGTGTCACCCCTTAATGACCTGTGTTCGAGTTCAGGTGACCTATGACAAGAGATCTGGTGAACCTGAGTGGACTTTCCAGAAATGAAAGATTTGTTTGCACTCAGAATATTTGGTTTTCTACTTGAAATAAAAGACATTAAAAAAACAAGCCAAAATGAGAAAAAAAATTCAAGCACAATTTTCTTTCAATATTAGTGCGCGTACGCTGGCGTCTGTTTACCCTTACTCCATAGATTTTAATTTCTAATGCGAACGCCTTCTTCATTATTTTATGGTTTACTTTCTTCAGTTAGGTTGCAAAACTTCTCTTATCTTCACAACCTGACATAAGATGCGGTGTTCACGAGAAGCTTTGAAATCTAAACCATAAATAAAATATTTGTGCTGGCGTTTTAAAAGAATAAAATCGTCTCTCCTTCTTCCTTTGAAATAGGCAAATGTAAATGTAACTAGTTTTACCCGTAAACTTTTGATGAACATAACACCTGATATGTATTTCTGGCATGGGTCTGATCTAATCTAAAAAGTCTTTTTTTACGAGCAGAGGCACACTGTCGGCTCAAAGAGTTGGCTAAGGGGGTGGGCGGGCAAGATTTTTCACGAGTAAAGCTAAGTGAATATATAATAACGGACAATTTCTACTGTGACGTGCAGCACAAGGATGAAAGTGTTTGGTTTTGTCTCATTTAGCTCTCTTGACTGAATAAAACGTTGTTATACTGATATATTCAGCCTTAATCTGCATAAACTATCGGTATAATGTAATCTTTTTAGTAACATTTGGAAAATATTTATTGCACATGTTTGGTTTTTAAACCCCGAGATATAAAGTCTTCAAAAATTAGTTTGTGGTTAGTTTCACTGAGAAATAACAACGATTCCCCTGAATACCTCAGAGTAAAGGTGTAATCTATCTGTTTGCTGACAGCTGGACGTAGCCTTTATACAGCTTAAATCCCGAGTAAGTTATCATTTACCTCGCTGAAAAATCTGCATCCCCAAGAAAGTTACTGGTATCATTTCCAAAATTCTTGTCGCTCCACCATTACAGAAAAAGAGCTTGCCTATAGATTTTTTTACATTTTCCTCGTTAAGAAGGTAAATTAACGCCGCACTCCGGGCAAACGCTTCCGGGGGCGTAAGAGGAAATTAAACCTCACTCCAAGTGCACTGCCTTCTGTCAGAAAGCGTGAGGATGGAAAAAAGGTTAATCAACTGTGTGGTATTGAAAAAATTGCAATCATTACAACTTCCAACCTCCCTTTTTTTAAGAGAAAGGGAATCTAATCCTGTTCCAAGTCAGCTGGCTTTATTGTGATTATTTTCTTGAATGGTTAAAAGGAATTCAAATATGGCTCCGAAATTCCTTTCGAAAATCTCAAGGGAATTCAACTAAAAGAAAAAAGTTTACAAATTACCTTATGTCCATGACCATACTTTTTACCTATTTGCAGGTTAGATGGCGATATTTTCTGTTTATGCGCTCGACCAAGATAATGCGACCATATGAGCTTAGGTAATTCTTTTAACCAAATATCGATGCATAGTGCACCCATCATTCGTTACAGTTTTATATACACTGAAGATTTTACTACTACATTACAAAGGGGAGACCGGGGCTAGTTGTTCCAGTTAGACACTTTTAGCCNAATAAATTAAAAATGTATAAAAATGTATTTCAAGGCGTTTACATGGGATATATACTTCGTTTTCGTATAGGGGGGCCAACTTGCCCGGACCCTGGGGCCAACTTGCCCCGCCACGGGGCAAGTTGGCCCCCTTGACGTCAACTGCGTTTTTTGTCAAATTGTGAGCCGTCTGGCATTATATTTGAAAAATAATGGCGTTGCATACGTAGCTTAGTTCATGGGGCTTACTTTAAAACCGGTTTTGTGACTCTAACCCATTCCTAGTTGGCTCTACAAGGCCAAAAGTGTCTAACTGGGCCAACTAGCCCCGGTCTCCCCTATGCATCGTCATTATTTTTCAAATATAATGCCAGATGGCTCACAATTTGGTAAAAAACGCAGTTGACGTCAGAGGGGCCAACTTGCAAACGTGTAAACGCCTTGAATTACATTTTTATACATTTTTAATTTATTAAATTGATTTTTGAGTCTTTGATTAATAAATACTGAAGTTCAGATGAGGCACATTTATTGAGGTTTCCGTACGTCATGTTGTAGGCCTATGTGTTGCAAGAACCAAAATATCTATTAATAAAATTTTGTTTTAATTAAGAATAAATTAATAATGGTATAAATTATTTTTTTAATGAATGAAAACATATTATAAATTTTTGTTTTAAAAGAAAGTAACAAATTCAGTTTTAAACCATTGAGTTTGTTGCACCTATGGTCTCTAGCTCTATTGCGCGCAAAGGTTTGTGGGTAATATGAGGGTCCAACTTGCCCCGAGTCAAGGGGGCCAACTAGCCCCGGGTGCACATTTTTTATTTTAAAGGATGACAGCCATTTATGGTGCTAGAATGAGCAACGCTGATACATCTCTGTGAAACTTGAAACAATGAGCTTCAGTTTGATGCCCTATACATATATTATATTATATTCGATCAAAAGCCTATGAAAATGGATTTTTAAATCTCTTAAACAAAATAACTTTTAGTTGCAAAAATCGTTTGTTTCGACTCACCGCTTAAGTAAAACTTTTTAACGTCCGACACTTCCATGGCATTGTAAGCTACGGTCACTTTACAAGAGTGTGTGGCCAGTTTTTTTACCTGGTAGTTACTTTTTCATAAATTGACGGGGGGGNGTTTGTTGATAAATGCCCTGCAGAAAAATTGCAGCTAAAATTTTGCAAACAAGTCCTTGGACTCCACCAAAACGTATCAAACTATGGTCTATACACTGAGCCAAGCCGCCCTCCCTTCTATAGTACAAAACAGTCCTCTATACTACCAAACAGTTTGCAGCTATCAGACTGTGTTGGTAGATTATCCAGGCGTCTCATGATACATTTATAAAACAAACATGTAAACGAGATCACTAGTTATGAGTTGCTGACACTTTATGTTCCACCTGCAGGTCACACCCTCAGGCCGGCTTCCATGCTGAGGGGATCCTCATCTTTAGACCTACATTTGGCCTTGGGAATGTGTGGCTAAGCTATCTTTCATTTTGACTCGCCTCTTAAGTAAAACTTTTTTACGATCGACGCTTTCTTGGCATTGCTGGATACGGTCACTTTACAAGCTAATCTGATCAATTTTTTAGCTCGTAGTTAATTTTTTCATAAATTGACGAGCGACTAACTTACCCCGGGGCCCAACTAGCCCCGGTCTTCCCTATACTGCGTCAAATTTCACAAACGACTTATCGACAACATACTCCCGTTTCCTCTCTCTGTGTTCTTGTATGTCACTCAACTGTGTTTGTTGGATCAGTCTGTATAGTGTAGCACGCACCTGAGTTACAACACTGATTTAGCTACATTAGTCGGTTAAAATACTTTTATTTCAGTGGTGGGAACATCGGGTATTTCGGCACTTAGACTTCCCGCCTTCAACCGCCAGTACTGGTGGTACCCTGCTATGAATTCGGAAACGGAAAGTACAACGCTCATAGTACGTTATTTATTTTTATTTCATCAATATTGGGACATACATGTATAAAGAAAAACACTTGTTTTCAGTTCAAAGATTACTTGTCGAGAATTTCAAACCACCTTGGTTGTTTGTTTAACTTATCATTTCTATAAGCTAGGCTTACACTAATTCTGGTTATTTGAATTCGTTCCACACTATGTCAGCTTTAAGCTTGGTCCCGGTGTGGCAGGAATGGAAGTTCGCTAGGAACCGTAGTCCGTTCCCCATTACTTTGTTCAGGTGACTTTCGTCCCGTATACTAACCTCAGTACTTCTACCCAAGTCGCACTAGACGCGGAATGAGCTACAGTGTAGTCAGAATGAGAATTCTTTGTATATTCCTGGGTATTCGAATTGCGTTCTAAAAATTCTGAGTGCATTCCAGATATATGGGCCCATTCTTGTGTTTGGTCGAAATGTTTTGCTCATGCTCAAAACTTCAGAAGTGCATCCCAAGTGGTGAAATATCGAATAACATTCTAGGTGATTCTAACTGCACCATGAGTGCATTATTTATATTCTTACGGCATTCTAAAGGTTTTGTCAGGATTTCTCTGTTGCGTCTGATTTGCGAACATCTGCAATGGCACCCGATTTTCTTTTTCTGTTTCTGTCCATATACGTCTAAGTAGACCACTACTGGTATAAGTAAGACGGAAAAGAAGAGAGCGCATGGGAAACATAGTCACTGTGTAGGCCTGATCTAAAGCCTTCCACAGTTTCAACATTTACTTGCTGATCACTCAGTCCATTCCAATCGGAAACTGTTCTGACGAAGAAAGAGTTTTTTCTGACAGGTGTGTTACAGCGTTGTAAGCGGTGGCAACGACTGTTGTTAGAACTATTCACAAAAGTTTCGGAATCAAAGTCAGTGAATGATTTAGCTCTTATGCGACGTTTGTTGGAAGCTGGTACTAAGTTAGTGTCAGGAGGTATCGCTGGTACCAACCCCTCAACCACCTTGAAGAGAAAAGTTAGCCGCAGTTCCTTCCTCCGGTGCTGCAGTAGTGGAAGATCTGGTGATTTCAGCATGGAGGTGACACTACCTGGGGATTGAGACTTGCAATCCCCAGTGATGAACCGTGCAGCCTTCCTTTGGATTTTTTCCATTTTGTCAATGTCTGTTTTTAAGTAGGGGTCCCATATGATGGCACCATATTCTAGAGTGGAGCGAACAAGAGCTATGTACGCTGACCTTCATGTGAGCGCTGGCATAGATTTCTTCTAATGAATCCTAGGGTGCTACTGGCCTTTTTACGTAAGTCGTTTATGTGAGTTGACCATTTCAGGTCGGAAGAAAGCATGACTCCTAGGTATGGCTTTGTCTGGACATTTTTTAGTACCGTGTTATCCAGTTGGTGAAGAATGAAGATTTCTGGCGGACACTACGAATGTAGCATTTGGAAGCATTGAATCGCATGCCCTATTTCATGGCCCAGTTTTCTAGGCTTACGAGGTCTTGTTGAAGAATTATGTGGTCTTTTTGCGAAGATATTTCCCTATATAGTAGGCAGTCATCAGCGAAGAGGCGTACTTTGGATTTTACAGAGTCCGGTAGATCATTAATATGACGATTACACAAGAAAGATGCAATCCACCGATGTATTTTGCCTCGTATCCCATAAGCATGTAACTTATGGAGTAGTTTGTTATGCGGTACCGTATCGAACGCCTTAGAAAAATCTAGTATTGCGATGTCTGTCTGTGTTCCAAGATCAAAGCAAGCTCGATGTAAGGTTGTCTAATATCACTGCTAGCTGTGTTTTGCACGAATATCCTGGACGAAAGCCATTTATTCGTGATACATGTACAATACATTATTAATATATTTGTAATTCATACTGTTCTTATCAGCACACTTTTTTGGTCAATTCTGTTGCGGATGACAACGAAGGCCCGAATCCCAAGAAAACGTGTATACTCAATTAATCCTCTCGTCAGTGTGCCCGGCCTTTAGCTTTCTCTTAACTGATTCCTAATGTGCCTGAAGTATGCCTAAGTCATTCTTACAAACAGTAACTGTTTCTTGACAACATTCCTGCTGTGCAAGCAGAATCCCACGATTATTCTTGAGTCTATCGAAACAAATTTGTCACTGGTCAAAGTTTTAACAGAAATGTGCAAAATTCCAGGATTCCTCCCGCTTTCTAAAATTTATCGTGGAAGTCGTAGTCTGTGTGGAATAGGGGGAAACCTGTACTGGTACTTACCATTTGGGATCCCGGACATCCATTCCTAAGACTACCATTCCTGTCACACTGGTCTTGTTTTGACTGACACCGCACCTGGGATGTTATCATACCTTGGTCAAAGACCATCTAGGGTTTATATCATGGAATGATTTTATTTCAGAGTGAGACATATAGCAAGAAGTCTGCTCTTACTGCTCTGAGAGTCCTGTGGAGTGGAGCCACCCGTCAGTGGAACAAAGGCCAATGTTCCCGGTGGTACTTCACCTTTAACGGCACAGAGTGCAGCAATCCGGGCACAATAGAAAGTGTCAAATACACCTACTACTATGATGCAAGCTCTGTCGATTTACACAGCCCATTTACAGGTATATTGAAACTATAACTTACCTTATACTTAATGCACACAATGAGAGTTAGATCAAATACCAAATGTGTTATATTCCTGGAGATATAAGCACTTTTTCCAGAGACGGGCCGGGTGAATTTGGCTTGCTCAGAGATCAATACCTCCCTCCGTCCTGTAACGCGAGTTTGAGTACACGTAGACACAAAGTTTTAAATCCATTTTAACCATTCATTTCAGTACAAGGGACATGTGTGGGTCTGCCAGCTGGGGACATCATTCTGAATTTTGCCGTGTCTTATTGTTCTGGATACAGTGGTGCGAACGCCGCCACTGGCTGGGGGACTGCAAGCAACATGATGGCAGAAGAAATTTTCCTGGACACTTACTAAGATATTAGTATGTAACAAGAAAATCATTGAACATCGGCACCTTTAGGTCTCTGTGAACGAATATTAATTTGCATTACTTTTTTGTTTTCGTGTGCTGCTGTGCGTGACACTGAAGCAGGTGTGGACTGGCAGTAGAATTAATGACCTTGGCGTTTTTGATTGTTTACAGTATTTTGTTACTCAGCTTCTGTCTGTTCCTATAATTTTATTAAGTCGAGAGTACATTTGCCATGCGACGTCCGTACGGTGCACGTATGCTACCCGTAAACCCCCTATCGTGCCTCGTAGCCGTGCGAATTCCTACGCATTTACAGTCTCCGTAGCCTCTTCGATTTTGCCAAGCTAAAGTTTTTGACAAACTTTGAAAATCGTAAGCCCGAGTGCCGTAGCACTATCGAGACGGCATTGCGCAGTTGCCGTATGGGTATTGTTCGGTGGACTTGCGGTGACCGTAGTGATGGCTGCACATATTGTTGGTCACTTTCCCTTCCACCTTTGGTGATTTAAGGAAGCATAACAATAATAAAAAAAACTTGGTATAATGCACTTTCACGAATTTAAAGTTGAGCGTTTCCCCATTCCAACCACATTGGTGCTAAATATCGTAGGGATCTCGTCCGACAACGTATCGATCTTCAAGGAAGCCGCACGGAAGGCGTACAGCAACTGCACTGGGACTAAAAGGGCTCAGAACGAGCGTTTTTCAACCCACAAACCGAGTTTTTCTTTCTTGACTTCAAGGTCATGTCGCCCAAATAGCACGGGGCGTTACGTACACATAGCGCGTAGTCATTTAAGATGTCTAAAAAATCGTATACAATTTCATCCGTGACAAATGTTATCTAGGCTTTAATTGATGTACATGTAACTGTATAGCTATCAATTGACTTAATTAATATGCATTTCGTATTTATGTCTGGCAAGGGGGTTCGATACGAAAATTTTCTTATCCGCTTAGGAAATGCAGAAATGAACTATCTCATCAAAAACCCATGTGAATTTGCAAATTCGAGCTGAAGACATCACGGCAGCAATTTTGGGAAGAAAACTGTAATTTTGATTTCAAGCAGATCCATCTCATTTGAACATGTATCAAAACCATTTAAAGCCTATTTAATTCTACAAATAAGTAGTAAAATCCAGTACCAGAAAGTTTTCTTGAAATACTTGCTTCAGATTTCATCGGTTATAGAAGTCATATCTCTTAAACAATATATATATATATATTATACCGATCAGTATCTGACACGAATTTACAAAGTAGGAAAATTTACGATAAACGCTTGGCCTCTTTGTGCGAAGTAAGTGGGGGGGGTCGAAAAAGATATTATTGCTATAAATTAAGGTGTTTATTTTCATTGCAGTAATATAACTATTTTACATAGAGGAAAAGGGGAAAGAACTATTTTGTCAAAAGTAGGCCTTTATAACGTGTCGAACCCCCCTTAATTGTGCAAAATGCATTTTATTTTAATTTTAAACTAATGTTTTAAACAGGAATCTGTAATAACAAAATACTTTAATACAATTATTCATATTATTTTTAAACACTATAAAGGAACACTTGGACTCATCCGCTCAACACGTAAAAGATTATTGACGAAAAGTGCATTTAAACACTTGGATCGTTGAGCTGAATTTATGTGAAATTGCATGCTTATTTTCTTTAAACACTTAGTTAAAGGATAATTGCGATAGGTATTTGGTCAAGACAAGCTACCAGGGCGGTGGGGGTGGGGGGTTACACCCGAGAATGAAGCTACATTAGTAGTAGAGTGTATCCAGCCTCACAAGAGAAATCACTCGACCCTCCCCCCCCCCCCCCCCCCCAAGTGCCCTTTGCTCTAATAGTAGAACAATATTTTATCAAACTGGCAAATCATTTTAGATGTCTTACACAATTTTTGAATAAAGAACTGAGATGTAAACTTTGCGAGTGTTGAGTCTCTCTCTTTATTATTATTATTATTATTTTGCAAATTGCAACACTCATTTATTTGTTATGTCAGATCTCGTGCAGAAAGTTCAGGTCTAAAAGTGGCATTTACTGAAAAAAAAAAACTCAACAACAATTTAATATCGTACTGTATTTATATTTTCATAAAATTTGCCCAGATCTACTTTTTTGCTATGCCAGCTGTACCAATGAACTATATGTATATAGAAAACAATAGAATCCACAAGTGATATTACCAGTGCGGTGAGTTATAACGAAACTTCACATTTTACCCATTTCACAAGTAACACAATGATTTTTCACTCAGTAATATTTCCACCAATGGGAACTTGGGCACATACCTTGAAGATTTTAATCATAATCCAACATATAAGCAAAATATGCACTAGGAGTCACTTTAAATGATAATGCCCCTCATTATATCACCTAATTACAAAGCCTGGAATTATTAGATCTGCATAAAATTCTATACTGTTGAGCTTTTTCGATCAAAAGGATGCAATAACTATCAATAGTTTATGCTTTATTTTTTCAAAGGGAAAAAAAAAAACTTTAAAAATGAGCATATACTTTAACTAAACTGCTGCATGGCTCCATGCATGATGGCCAATGATCTAAATAATGAGGGACAGCAACAAGGTCATGTTTCAAAACCAGAAGCTTCTTATTGCTATCTAACCAAAAGTTAACATAAGTAATCTCATAACTGCACTCTATAATCTTTGAATTTTTTTAAAGAAAACACATCCTGTTGATGTTAACTAAGATATTCATTGGCAGAAGACACATTTTGCAATAAGTAAAGAATGTAAGGAAACCCACCACTTTTTTTGCTATGTTGTAAACTGAAACCTTCTGCATTGCCCATGAAAATGGTAGTAAAATCAGGTAACAGTCAGTGTCCTCTGGGCTGAGAGGGATACTGCATTAACCTGGCACGAGGGAGATTCTGATATTTCTTATAACGAATAATACCCGTTAAGATGAGTTTCTTTTTCTATCTAAGGACATTGTACTTAACACAGAAAGAATACATGTAAATGCTAACTTATGAATACTTGATCCTCGTTTTATTTTTTTAATGACTTTCAATATTTCAGTGGCATGGCTAAACAGAAATGATATACTTACCATACGTGATTCAAATTTTTCATATTTTTTGACAGAAATCATTTTAATCCAATCTTAATTATGAACATGCTGACTGAAAATGGGTGCATACAATTATTTCATAAAACCGTCAATAAAAACATTACAACATATAAAACATACCTAATATGACGGGCCACATGAGATCAGCTTTCTTGACACTTTAATAATAATTGTTTAAACTGCTACTCCACTTGAAACATTTAATATAAAAATTCTACATCTTTCCCTTTACATACAGACGTTCAGCTTCACTTTCAATTGTGTCTCATTGTTCTAGATACTAACTTACAATCACAAAATTTCTAATAACACTTTCATAAGGTTATTTAATGAGGTTAAAAGCATCTTTACTTTTCATTACATTTTGTGGTTTGGCAGCTTTGATTCTAAAAAATGTTGTCTGTTGTTAAATGCATCTTTTGCTTTTTTTCCCCATTATTTGGTTTTAGTAGCTCTGCTAAAAATGCAATCTGCTGATAAACACATCTTACAGTTTTAATCGCTTATCTGGTTTTGGCAGCTTTGATCAAAATGTCATCAACATGAGAATTTTCTGTCTTCTTCAAATTAATTCTCGAGGAAGAAACCCCTGTGAGTAATCCATTACAACTTCCTTCTGTGACCATGTCTCTCAATACTACATCTTCCTTTACTGTCTGTGTCTCTTGTACTTCCTACAAGATTACTCACCATAACAACTTTGATCCAATACTGCCCACACAGGACAAATTATTTGGTGATGAACTGCAATCAATGCTGCACTATATCACTATGACTGAAAGCATGACATATTTCACTTCTCAGAAACCAATTCCAGAGCATTTCCTTTTGCCAAGAACCCCGATGGCAGGATGTGGCACATTTCTGAGTTTTCTCTTTTGAACCCAACTCATTGTGAGTTAAAAACTCTCCACAAAGCTTCCTGGGAACAATCCAGTCTTTCCTGTCCTTGCGAGGGTCCCCTTGAACCACCCGTCTTCACGTTTTTTATGCACATAAACTATATCCCCTATTTTCAGTTCCAGCTCAATGTCACTCTGGGGAGGGTATGGCACAATACAGCGAAATCTGAAAGGATAAGATTATTACAAAGTCTCCTGGGAAAAAAATTGTTGATACACTGTGGTGTTAAACAGTTCAATGCATTGCTCTGACCTAAATTTAAGTATAAACTTTTATTTGTGAGAACTCCTTTGATTCATAATCCATTTTTCTAAAATTTGCCTTGTAAAATTAATTATATTTGATTTTTTGACATTAATAAGCAACCTTTTATAACTGAATTTAATGAAAGTTTTGCGCCTCATTTATAGTTGGAATCATTATATCAACATAACACTAATAAAAACTGAAGTAACACAAGAGCTTTAACACCTCAAAATCTCAAAGCCCATTCCTCCAACCTGACACGAGATTGGGAGTCAGCAGTGCCAGCTGACAAAATGAAAGTTTTTTTTTCTTCTTGTTTACTGATCGGAGACTAACTTCTACACACCTTTCTCTGATCAGAGGCTTTGGCTTGCCAGGTTTGGGAGTGGGTGCCGTGGAAGAATCAAGGGACCCAGTTTTCTTATGGTGCACCACTGCTGGGGGTGGTGCCACAGCGCCCTCTTCACTAGGTAGGGAACCACTGCGAGAATGACCCCCAGACGCACCCTCCTGGCATGTGGCGGCCTCTGGTGTCTCTTGAGCAGACTTGGACTTTTTACCCTTGCTACTGCTTGTCAGCCTTTTCATCAGACTCATTTTTTCTTTCTCTTTCTTCTGAAAATATCGATTAAAAGGGAAACTTATTAATTGTCCAACTATCTCCAAAAGAATGACATTTTCTTATTAAAAAATATTCAATTTGTTCACATTTTTCATATTTGGATTATTGGTCTTTTTTTAGCTAATTTTATTTTTTCATTCCATTATTAAATCACAATAAAATGTACAAAGTTTAAAAATCCATGTACACTTTCAATGAGTATCTCCCTCCACTTTCTTCATATTCTCATTGGCTGCACAAGAGTGTAATGAGTTTCCCCCAAAAACCAATTTGACGTGTAAGACTTTTATAGACCCCAGCCGATTTTCACATCACAACCCAACCTATAGTAATGACTCAATCTTTTTAAAGGGGAAAATTGTGAAAGTTACTAATAATGTATTTTTATGTAATAAATTCTATACAAAGAACATTCCTGTTGAGTAGTAGCAGCACAATTGAAACACAGACTACCGTATAGTACTATTCTATACAGTTCAAGCACCACAAATGCTACATAAAAAATTATATTTTTGGAAAGTTTTTTTTTTATTGAAAAGAGCAAGTCATCACCATAACTTACACCCACACCATTAAAAAGAGTGCCCCCCCCCCCCCCCCCCACTTTACCTTCTCCTTCTCTTTGGCAGCCCCAGATCCCAGCATGGGTTCCAGTGCTCCTGAAGCCCCCACCACCACATTGGGTGGGGTAATATTACTACTGGTAGACATGGAATGTTGAATAGCTGCTACAGTCTGCTGGGAGGACAAGGCAGAAGCTGCAGACCCCGACGTGGAAGGCTGCTTTGGTGACGGTGGGGAGGTCTGGCTCACTGTCCTTGGGGGCACAGGAAGGGGGAAATCAGTCTTGGCAGATGTAGCACCACTACTTGTACTCTTTGGACTACTGGGTTCACTGCCCCCGCCGGCACCCCTAGCTTGCTGTGCCCTAGCTGCCTGGGCCATAGCCACAGTGATGGGTTGGTGAGGGGGCCTGGGAGGGGGTGCGGAGCCAGCAGAGTTGGGCCTGGTGACCATGTAATCCATGCTGGCCGCCAGGGCAGTGGCCGGGGACTGGGAGGACTGGACAGTGCCTCCACCTGGTGACCCCTGTCCAGTGGCACGGATATTGAGGACATTGGCGGAGGTTCTCTGGGGAGACCTGGTGGTGGTCAGCTGGGGGGTCCTGGAATGGAAGAGTGGATTATCACTGATAGGCTTTTATTTATTTTATTTTTTATTTATTTTAACCAGAACACTTCTTAACAAATAATACTTACTTTGAAGCTGTTCTTCTACAAAAGATGTATTGTTTTTGGCAGTTTAAATTATTAAGACAATTTTTCAACAATGTGTTAATATCTTCAGGAGGCAAAATGTCTTTCAAACATTGTAGATTTTCTGAATACAAATGTTTTTATGCCACAGCACCCATTTGCAATAATGTCAGGAGAAAATACATTGACAACAGCAAAATTAAATGCACAAGTTTGAATTTCTGACAAGCATGGATTCACAGAAAATTTTGAACTACATCTGGTGCACTTCACTCACTTGACAAGTTGGACATAGTTTCCAGGGAAGACCCCCACTTTCCCAGTCTTAAAGCATCGTCCCTTAAACCAGCCGTCCTGGCACTTCTCAGCCACTGAGTAGTAATCTCCTTTATGAAGCTCCACCTCGTCCTCTTTCTGGGGTTTGTAGTGATAGAGGGCAATGTATCTGGAATTAGATGATGAAATAGTTATAATAATATACATCTCTTCATAGGATGATATATCACTATAGAGAGGACAACATATCTCTCTGGACAATATGACATTTCTCCAAGAAGAACATATTCCTATCTCACTAGAAAAGATCTTACTTGATTCAGGGCAGGATAAAGTTCATCTCCAGGTCCTTCTGAAACCCTTTTTGTTACATCACAATTATAAGGTTTCCACTACTTCACATCAATTTGAAAAATACTGATCTTTTATTTAAAAGTTATTTTCATTTGCTCAAACTGCTGAAAGAATTTTTCTAAAAAAGAATAAAGATGAGGAGCATACTCACATGGCAGGAGAGACTGGCTGGACATGGCGCACAGACGGAGGTGACTGGTTGAGCTGAAGAAACAACAACCATGGTACATTTATTTGGGTTAACTTTGTACACCCGTCCAGGGTTTTCTCTTTCATAGGCCTCGGTATTTCATGGAGAGTTTTTATTTCAGATATAAGATACATTTATGCACTTGGAAAAAGTGTTCAAAAAGAGATATTCAAAGTCATAGAAATTTATGCACCTGCATTTTTCACCATTTTAAATATAAGACACATTCAAATTTAAGTAAATGTAACTGTGGGTCTCTCTGTACAGTTAACAACAGAAAAGTTTAACCATGCCTCTGACATTCAAATGCCTGGTCAGTTAATGCTGCTGTATAACAATGCATTGTAATCTGAGAATCAGTTCAATGCCGAAAATCAATTCAATGCGGTTTATTTTCAAATATAACTTAGATGTCTGTGGCACAGCAAAAAACCTCTTTTCAACTGGGCAAATCACATGGGGGATTACTATCACAGAATATGACTATGAATGTGCTGCCTTACCCCTGGTGAAGTATTAGCTGTACTGGCCACGGGGGCAGGAGAAGTCGTGGGACTGGCAGTAAAATTCACATTGCCTGCTATCTCCATGGAGTGTCTATGCTGGGACTGAGGAGAAGAGCATTTCTGCCCTGTGGTGCCCAGACCTGACAGGGAATGCCTTTTCTGGAACATACACAAACCAGTCAGTTTGAGCAGAATATTTGGTTATCCATTTGTTGTGGTTTACAGTGAAAAGTTCAAAGCCACAATGACGATAACATAAACACAGGATCATGATGGTCTGGTTTATATGTATTAAAACTACTTTCAGTGCTCCTTATCAATAACCATTACATTTCTTTATTTACAAAATAAACAAACAAACAAATAAATAAATAAATAAATAAATAAATAAATAAATAAATAAATATCAACTCACCTGAGATTTCGCTGCCAAAACCTTTGGGTTCTGTGGCTGTGGTCTAGGCAGTAAAGAAGGGCCTGGGTTGACCCCTGATCCTGTACTGGGCCCTTGGCTAGGCCCTGAATTTGGCCCTGGACTAGGCCCTGCAGCAGGCCCCGGCACAGTGGGGGGCACTGGGCCATTGTCTCCACTACTGTGACCTGAACTGGTCTGGGGGGAGGTACCATTTGACTTCTGCTGGGCTGCAGACCTGTTAGACACAATTAAAAAATATAAAGGCCAGAAAACATGCAAAGTACAGTTCATCATAAAAAGTAGGTCAAAGGTCAATTTCAAGGTCACAGTTAGATTGCCAGTATATGACTTCCTATTAAGGTTCAATAGTAGCTATGGGTGTATCTCTGCCAGTTTTCGAGATATAAGAGAGAGAAATTTTGCTAAGTTCAGTTCATGGTGAAAAGTAGGTCAAAGGTCAATTTCAAGGTCACAGTTAGATTGCCAGTATATGACTTCCCACTCAAGTTCAACAGTAACAATGGACGTATCTCTGCCAGTTTTAGAGATATAAGGGCTGGAAAATTTGCAAAGTTCAGTTCATGGTGAAAATTAGGTAAAAAATCAATTTCAAGGTCACAGTAAGATTACCAGTATATGACTTCCTATTCAAGTTCAGTAGTAACTATGGGTGTATCTCTGCTTATTTTTGAGTATTTCACATTTTATTTTCACCACTGAATATTGAATGTTGAACTTTTTGATATAGTGCAATGCCTAGGCCATATAGAAAACAAAAAAATGGACACAACTACCAGTGTTGCACTTGACAAGTTCTACAAAATGCAAAAAAACAAGAGGTCTCTAGCATTAACGGTTCCATAATTAGAGAGAGTTTTCAGTTTTGGCATCTAATGGCCACTACTACCGTGAAAATGCACCGATTGACCCCAAGCTCATGAAAATGAAAGATGACCCTAAGGGTAACACCTGCCCATAATATTATAGGTAAGATCTGTTTAGTTTCTAAAAATCGGCTGAAAATTTTAGAAAATTTTGGCCTGTTTGACCTTGAAATAAAGGTCAAAGGTCAAATCCAAGGGCATATTTGAAATCCTCACATATGACTTACAGTCAGCCATCTGTAGAAATTTTTCCCATAATTCCATTGGTTTGGGAGATATTTAGCATTGAATTTTCAAAATTTTTGACAAGGGTGTGTTTCAACGAGGGTCACGCCCAGGTCAATGCACCAACTGAGACAAAAAAAACCAGGGGGTTCAAGTTGAGATTATATGTGACCTAAATCCAAATGATGGGGACACAGGCCCTTGCAGTCTAGGAGGAGAAGCGGTAACAGCGACTTGTATCCCACATCATCCTGCGGAGCCACAGGAGCCGGCAGAGCCACAGGAGCGGGCGGAGCTATACGAGACAGGTCGGGACTAAACCCATGAGTACCGCCAGCATACACGCTGGTGGTACTAATTAGCTTTAAGTACTACTCGCAGTAAGATCTACAAACTGAAACATGTATTAATAAAAAAAACCATGCTTGTCATTAGAATGGATTCAACACCTCTAGTCCATATTTCTGCTCATTACAAAACTGACATTTGATTCTTTAAATCTTATTTTAAATATCTGCAAAATACTATTTATTTGTCTGGAAGTGATTATCTATTTTAGTTGATTTCCTCTTGCTAAATAACTGCAAAGAAACATAACTACTTGCTTCCCATAAAATCAACAAAGTATTGAAATAAATCTTTTCCAATTTGAAATAAATGATGAAGTGTTGTTATTTATCCTTTTCAATGGTGACAGTACTTACCCAGAAGAACTAACTAAAGTCTTAGCAGGATCATTCATCTGAAAAAACAGAAGGCAGCAATGAAGAGTATGAAGTACTGAAATATATGATACATGGCAAAAATTTTACAATGTACAACTGCCATCAAAACGCATTGGAGACACTGAAGCTGGAAATACAAAGTAACCTATTTATCATTTATTAGTATTCATTTATAATAAGTTTCAGAGTTGTGACAAGTTTCTCAAAATGTATGTAATTTTCTTCGCCTTTTTCCATTTTTTGTAAGTGAATACAATACTGCACTGCACTGTACTTCAAGTCGCAGTGTACTTACCTCCACAAAGGAAATGGGAAATATCCCTATCCTGTCACCCAGCTTTCCCTCCACCCAATTATTGTCCACACGTCTTATCACCGTGACGATCTCATCCTGGAAACAACAATGACACATTGGAAGCCTTCACAATTAGACGACGCATTTAAAACTAGTTAAATTTCAATATTTAAACCAGAAATCGTGTTTCTGATGTCACTGGACAGACTTATTTCTAACTAAGGGATTTTGTTGTAAAGATGGGGTGTAGACTTTTACAATACACAATGATTGTAACAAGTTTGATTAAAAGTGACATAGTTCACTTCTTAAATCGATTACTTCAAATTCTAAACATATAATATATTTTTTAAAAAAATAGAAAAAAAAAGCATTTTCATACAATCAACAGCAGTTTTACCTTCCTGAAGGTGAGGCAGTCCTTTTCATTTTCGTCATTAATTTCAAAGTCATACAGTGCCTTACACTGGGGCACAGTCGTAGGAAGGGGAGTAATAACCTGAAATGATACAAAGTTCATACTCAAAATTATAAGAAATATGCAATAACCTTTAACAACAGATATTTTGTTTGCAAGATTATTAATGTACAAATAAAGATATATATATATACCGGCTAATGTGGACCTGTTTAAGTTCTAGGAGTTTCAATAAGGCAAAGATTAGAATTTTACTGTCTTCAATATAGAAGAACTCCAAGTCAATTGCAGATGTTGTAATCAAACAGTGCAAAACTATAGGCGGGACTTCAGACAGGAAAATTTGGTCTGCTTGCATTAACTGTAACTTCCTTGATGAGGAAAATGTCTTTGCAACTTCCTGTGTTGTTAAAACAGAAGCATGCCGAGACTCTAAGGGGCCATTCACAATGAGTTAGGTTGCCACAGTTGGTATGCACCAACTGCACGGGGAGGCTGAATGCAATCACATTAATAGACAACAATCCTTGGTGAAGAAGTGACCAATCAAATATGATGTTGCCTGAAATTCCCCCAAATGGGGATATAAAGCCTACTATGACTGGTGTGTTCAGTTGAAAACATACCAATCACAGCAAAGCAATTCTCAAATCAATCAAGACAAGCTTTGTAAGGTTTGTGATGCAGGGACCATTATCAGTAAACATACCACAGGTATAGAGGATGTGTGGAGTAAAAAGTACAGTTTCTGTCAATTAATCACTAGTATATCAATGTTGGTATCCAGCGCCACATTAATCATATTTATATAGTATATATATATTACATTAAAATATAGTATTCCCACCTGTACATAACTGGCAGGGAAGAAGCCATGCTGGTTGTTCAATTCCCCCTGAAACCAATTCTCATCCACTTTCTTCCTCAATAAAATCATGTCACCTTTCTTGAAGGTGAGGTCTCTGAAAAAAACAAAAAAACAAAACAAATCCAGTTACTGCAGGTTCCAGCTTGCAGTATTCACACAGGGTGGACTGAGACCCATTAAAAGCAGTTCTTTCTCTCCCATGTGCTCTTGGTAAAGCCATTAGTGTCAATCAGTGACTTCACTTTAGAAAATAACAGACGCAAGTCAACACTATTTCACNAAATTAAATGCACAAATCCAAATTTCTGACAAGCATGGATTCACAGAAAATTTTGAACTACATCTGGTGCACTTCACTCACTTGACAAGTTGGACATAGTTTCCAGGGAAGACCCCCACTTTCCCAGTCTTAAAACATCGTCCCTTAAACCAGCCGTCCTGGCACTTCTCAGCCACTGAGTAGTAATCTCCTTTATGAAGCTCCACCTCGTCCTCTTTCTGTGGTTTGTAGTGATAGAGGGCAATGTATCTGGAATTAGATGATGAAATTGTTATAATAATATACATCTCTTCATAGGATGATATGATACTGAGAGGACAAGATATATCTCTGGACAATATGACATTTCTCCAAGAAGAACATATTCCTATATATATATAAGTTAATCTCCAGGTCGTTCTGAAACCCTTTTTGTTACATCACAATTATAAGGTTTCCACTACTTCACATCAATTTGGAAAATACTGATCTTTTATTTAAAGTTTATTAAGTTATTTTCATTTGCTCAAACTGCTGAAAGAATTTTTCTAAAAAAGAATAAAGATGAGGAGCATACTCACATGGCAGGAGAGACTGGCTGGACATGGCGCACAGACGGAGGTGACTGGTTCAGCTGAAGAAACAACAACCATGGTACATTTATTTGGGTTAACTTTGTACACCCGTCCAGGGGTTTTCTCTTTCATAGGCCTCGGTATTTCATGGAGAGTTTTTATTTCAGATATAAGATACATTTATGCACTTGGAAAAAGTGTTCAAAAAGAGATATTCAAAGTCATAGAAATTTATGCACCTGCATTTTTCACCATTTTAAACATAAGACACATTCAAATTTAAATAAATGTAACTGTGGGTCTCTCTGTACAGTTAACAACAGAAAAGTTTAACCATGCCTCTGACATTCAAATGCCTAGTCAGTTAATGCTGCTGTATGGCAATGCATTTTAATCTGAGAATCAGTTCAATGCCAAAAATAATTTCAATGTGGTTTATTTTCAAATATAACTTAGATATCTGTGGCACAGCAAAAAAACTCTTTTCAACTGGGCAAATCACATGGGGGATTTCTATCACAGAATATGACTATGAATGTGCTGCCTTACCCCTGGTGCAGTATTAGCTGTACTAGCCACGGGGGCAGGAGAAGTCGTGGGACTGGCAGTAAAGTTCACATTGCCTGCTATCTCCATGGAGTGCCTATGCTGGGACTGAGGAGAAGAGCATTTCTGCCCTGTGCTGCCCAGACCTGACAGGGAATGCCTTTTCTGGAACATACACAAACCAATCAGTTTGAGGAGAATAAGTCTCATGGTTATCCATTTGTAGTGGTTTACAGTGAAAAGTTCAAAGCCACAATGACGACAACATAAACACTGGATCATGATGGTCTGGTTTATATGTATTAAAACTACTTTCTGTGCTCCTTATCAATAACCATTACATTTCTTTATTTACAAAATAAATAAATAAATAAATATCAACTCACCTGAGATTTCGCTGCCAAAACCTTAGGGTTCTGTGGCTGTGGTCTAGGCAGTAAAGAAGGGCCTGGGTTGACCCCTGATCCTGTACTAGACCCTTGGCTAGGCCCTGCATTTGGCCCTGGACTAGGCCCTGCAGCAGGCCCTGGCACAGTGGGGGGCACTGGGCCATTGTCTCCACTACTGTGACCTGAACTGGTCTGGGGGGAGATTCCATTTGACTTCTGCTGAGCTGCAGACCTGTTAGACACAATTAAAAATTGTCTTTAAGTGGCAGTACTCTCAGTAAGACCTACAAACTGGAACATTTCATGTATTAATAAAAAATTTACTTTGCTTGTCATTAGAATGGATTCAACGCCTCTAGTCCAAATTTCTGCTCATTAAAAAACTGACATTTGATTCTTTAAATCTTACTTTAAATATCTGCAAAATACTATTTGTCTGGAAGTGATTATCTACTTTAGTTGATTTCCTCTTGCTAAATAACTGCAAAGAAACATGAACTACTTGCTTCCCATAAAATCAACTAAGTATTGAAATAAATCTTTTCCAATTTGAAATAAATAATGAAATGTTGTTTTTTATCCTTTTCAATGGTGACAGTACTTACCCAGAAGAACTAACTAAAGTCTTAGCAGGATCATTCATCTGAAAAAACAGAAGGCAGCAATGAAGAGTATGAAGTACTGAAATACATGATACACGGCAAAAATTTTACAATGTACAACTGCCATCAAAACGCAATGGAGACACTGATGCTGGAAATACAAAGTAACCTATTTATCATTTATTAGTATTCATTTACGATAAGTTTCAGAGCTGTGACAAGTTTCTCAAAATGTATGTAATTTTCTTCGCCTTTTTCCATTTTTTTGTAAGTGAATACAATACTGCACTGCACTGTACTTCAAGTCGCAGTGTACTTACCTCCACAAAGGAAATAGGAAATATCCCTATCCTGTCACCCAGTTTTCCCTCTACCCAATTATTGTCCACACGTCTTATCACCGTGACGATCTCATCCTGGAAACAACAATGACACATTGGAAGCCTTCACAATTAGACGTATTTAAAACTAGTTAAATTTTAATATTTAAACCAGAAATCCTGTTTCTGATGTCACTGCACAGACTTATTTCTAACTAAGGGATTTTGTTGTAGACTTTTACAATACACAATAATTGTAATAAGTATGATTAAAAGTGACAGTTCTACAGCACTTCTTAAAATCGATTCCTTCAAATTCTAAACATGTAAAAATTAAAAAAAAAAAGAGAGAAAAAAAGCATTTTCATACAATCAACAGCAGTTTTACCTTCCTGAAGGTGAGGCAGTCCTTTTCATTTTCGTCATTAATTTCAAAGTCATACAGTGCCTTACACTGAGGCACAGTCGTAGGAAGGGGAGTGATAACCTGAAATGAAAGTTTATACTCAAAATTACAAGAAATATGCAATAACCTTAAACAACAGATATTTTGTTTGCAAGATTATTAATGTAATGTAAGTTCTAGGAGTTCCAATAAGGCAAAGATTAGAATTTTACTGTCTTCAACATAGAAGAACTCCAAGTCAATTGCACATGTTGTAATCAAACAGTGCAACACTGTAGGTGGGACTTCAGACAGGAAAATTTGGTCTGCTTGCATCAACTGTAACTTCCTTGATGAGGAAAATGTCTTTGCAACTTCCTGTGTAGTTAAAACAGAAGCATGCTGAGACTCTAAGGGGCCATTCACAATGAGTTAGGTCGCCAACTGCACGGGGAGGCTGAATGCAATCACATTAATAGACAACAATCCTTGGTGAAGAAGTGACCAATCAAATATGATGTTGCCTGAAATTCCCCCAAATGGGGATATAAAGCCTACTATGACTGGTGTGTTCAGTTGAAAACATACCAATCACAGCAAAGCAATTCTCAAATCAATCAAGACAAGCTTTGTAAGGTTCGTGATACAGGGACCATTATCAGTCAACATACCACAGGTATAGAGGATGTGTGGAGTAAAAAGTACAGTTTCTGTCAATTAATCACTAGTATATCAATGTTGGTATCCAGCGCCACATTAATCATATTTATATAGTATATATATATTACATTAAAATATAGTATTCCCACCTGTACATAACTGGCAGGGAAGAAGCCATGCTGGTTGTTCAATTCCCCCTGGAACCAATTCTCATCCACTTTCTTCCTCAATAAAATCATGTCACCTTTCTTGAAGGTGAGGTCTCTGAATAAAACAAAAACCAAAACAAATCCAGTTACTGCAGGTTCCAGCTTGCAGTATTCACACAGGGTGGACTGGGACCCATTAAAAGCAGTTCTTTCTCTCCCATGTGCTCTTGGTAAAGCCATTAGTGTCAATCAGTGACTTCACTTTAGAAAATAACAGACGCAAGTCAACACTATTTCCCATCAGTTTCTCTAAATTACAGATTTACCTTTCTGGTTAAAGGGGACTGGGAGACCCAAGATTTCGCAATTCTTCTTAATGAGGTGATTTTTCAACATTTCCCAGGCTCCCAACGAACACATCAAATTTTTTGCCAAATGTGAAAGAAAATTCAGCTTAAGAAAATTTACTAGTAGGTCACTGAGTAATTTTCCTTGTTTTGCTTTGATTAGAAATGTTAAGAAATTCAATTTTGGATAATGTAAATTATGTAGAAGAATGCTTTAGACTTCTAAAAAGTATATTAAAAGGTTAAAGTTTGGTCGTGTCATCATTTGCTGATTAAAATCACAATATTATTCAAACATAAATATGTGGAAAAAGACAGAGCACATACTCTGGTCAAATAACAACACATAATAGATACTATGCAATAACAAATACAGTATTAGCTAGAAAGGAAAGCTTTACACCCCATTTCCATAGATTTTTAGATCGATCTATCCCTGTGGGGAGTCTCACTAGATTACTGTCAGCTTGGCCGGCTTAAGCATCTGTCCCGCCTACTAAAAGCTGTAAGGGGGTAATTAACTATGGTGCCCGCTCGGCTGACTGCAATTTAGCGTGAACCCCCAAGGAGTTAGGTTGATCTAAAACTTAATCTTTAGATCGATCTAAATCTCTGGGAAAGCACCCTTATTCAAGGCAAGAATCCAAATTCAGTTAATAAACACGTTAAAAGAAGGCAACACTGCTTGTTTTAAGTACCAAGTTAAGTTATATCATATTAATTGGATTCCTCTTCTAGGTTTATAGACCAGTGTAGAACAGTGACCTAAAGGACAACATAGCTGATAAATCAAGCTTCAACCAATTACTTTTACTGCCACTAACCCCAGGTGTGGTTTAATACCATGATATCATCAGTTTTTACAATTAAATTATTGTATTAATAAATAAATTTATTCAGGTGGGAGGGGTGGGGGGGGGGGGAAGATAATAGTTAAATGCCACATATTCCTTCACTGATAACAGACAACCAGGTTGCAATCAAGCTGCTTCCATGCACTAGACCAACACTTTTTTGTTTGAATGAGAACAAAGCTGTATTCACAAGGGGGCAATGCAATACCTTTTCAATTCCATCTATAATCATTACCACATATCTCTAGTGGGGAAATTGACATGTCTTCAATTATTCAGAATACTAGCTATCAGGACACAGCTATTACTTAATATAATAATATGGGAGATACAGACTATTAAGGAATACCTTCCCAAATCCTCCCTCCTTAAATGCAGCAAAATATACAGGTGCTTGAAAATAAAAAATAAGCTAAAACAACGCAAAAATCAATCCCATTTATTTCTGTATAATGCCAGACGAAGTATTGATCTGTTCCCCCATACATGAGGATGCAGCTAGTTACTGCACTCTACCTTTTGTTCAATAATGTTTTTCTATGTCAATCCATGTCTCATCAGTGAGAGCAAGCAAGCAGTAAGACCTGTAACAGTTACTGGTATTGTACACACAGTGATTCATCCTTCTCCTCATGGGAAAGAAATAAAAGTGGTCGGAGTAGGACTTGCCTAATCTAATGTCAATGCGGTTGAGATCATTCAGTTTCCTTAAGGCCATGGAACTTTTTTGTAAACATGTCCCACACACTGATCTCAGAGGAAATTACTATGAAAACACCACAGGGAAATGGAAAGTGAAAGTCAGCAGTCTTAAAATTGAATTTTAATTTCAAAATTAAAATACATAGATTAAAGAAAATTAAAGGAGGGATTTAAATATAGAAAAGAAGATAATTATCACTTAAATAATAATCACTCCAATTCAATGGATTATAAATCTATGATAAATAGACCTCTGGATGGTGATACATAATATGACATTGCCTCGGGGGGA